CCAATGCCCAATGTATTAGTAGGCACCAGGAACAAATCAAATGCCAAATGTATTAAGGCACCAAGCACCAAGAACAAATCTAACGTTCAATAAATTAGTAGACACCAAAAACAAATCCAATGTTCAATGAATTAGTAGACACCAAGAACAAATCAAATGTCTAATATATTAGTGAGCACCAAGAACAAATTCAATGTCTAATATATAGTGGGCACCAAGAACAAATCTAATATTCAATATTAGTAGATGACCAAGAATCTAACACCAAAGTATTAGTATGCACCAGGAACAAATTAAATGCCAAACATATTAAAGCACCAAGAACAAGTCCAATGTCCAATGTATTAGTGGGCACCAAGAACAAATCAAATACCAAATATATCATAGACACCAAGATTCAATGTCCAATGTATTAATAGGCACCAGGAGCAAATCAAATGTCCAATGTATTAGTGGGCACCAAAACAAACCTAATATCCAATGTATTATTAGTAGGCGCCAAGAAAAAATACAAAGAACAAACCCAACATCCAATGTATTAATGGGTACCAAGAATTAAGCCAACATCAAATGCATTAATAGAGCCAAGAACCAAGCAATGTCGAACGTGTTGAGATATTAATGCAAGAAATAAAATGGCAGTCGTTAAACAAAAAAAAAAGAGGGCAAGATAAGAGCAAAAAAGACTTTTTATGCTCTTATTCGTAATGACTTTATATTACATCTTTCGTGATGACGTTACTATTACATCTTTCATAATGACGTTATTACATTTTTTGAAAAAGCGATTTTAGATTTTAGATTTAAGATTTTAAGATCTTGCGTCAGATTACAACTGACGCACTTCAGGTGACCGACCGACAGGTGACGCGCGTCACTTGAAAATCGGCATCTGACGTGCTTCGGGTTGCATCTGACGTGCGTCGAGTTGCATCCGACGCAAGGATGCATCTGAGGCACAACATATATATGTCTTAAATCGATACCTTGTCAAATTTTCAATCCTATTTCTCTATTTAAAATTGTGATTAATGGCTTCTATCATTACAGCAGTAACAAAGAATAATCAATTAACTATTATAATTTATTTATGTGTTCCTCTAATTATAATTTCTCTCATTTCTACTATCATCTTATGCGTGACATTTAGTTTAATATGAAAATATTATCCTAATCTTGCTGATCTAATTTAGTCTTTGCGGCCTCATTTTGTGATATAGGTTACTCTGGTCATCTTTTAGTTTATTTTTGGTGGGTACTATTCCCAGTTTATGTAAATATTTGGTAAGATATCCATTAACTTTTCTTTTTCAATATCAAATAGCATCTCTTTTGATATTCAATAGTTTCTTTTTTTAATTTTTTTAATATCCTTTGAATTTTTTTACATATGAAGCTTGTAATTTGTATTTTTTAATCTTTCTTCTCTATTCTGTATCGTCTGTATAGCTTTGGTATTTATTATGATTATATTTACCGTGTTCTTTATGTATATGTTTTCATTTATCTTCTTTTTTTTAATTTTAGAATCTTCATATAATATTCGTAAATGAATATAGAAAGCGTCATGATTTTGAAAAATATTATTTTATAATTGCATTTTCTTTTGCCCTTTTACTTTTTCTTCTTCCTATGGCCTCTAATATGTATGGCAATATTACTCCTGAAAGGTATGTATATATATATATCGTAGGTGAGAACAGAATTTAAATTGATTCAGAATTTTTATGGTTAGGGTTGGGATTTTTTAATATAGTTATTCCGTTCTAATCTAAGTGTATTTTGAACCTTATGATTCTTTCCCCATATACGTCACATACATTAGATATACATATTTTTTATTTCATATTTTATCTCATATTTATTTATATTATATTTTATTTTATATATTAATATTTTATTATTATTTATTACAGTAGTTGCTGGTATAATAATTCGGGTTAAGAAAAAAATTTTATATGGCAATGGGTTACCTTTTTGGTTAGGTATATGTATCTATTTTGTATTGTGTGATTGTTGTAATTATGGTCATTAGAAAACTTAAATCTGCGAAAAAAGGAGTTGATGATATTTTTGGTTCTCAGATGGCTGATTATCCTACCTTAATTAATAAGACTGTAATTTCTTTCATTGTCAGAAGGATCATGTGGTACCCTGTAGTACCATTAGCGCTCAATTTTTTGGCTCTTTTATTGAAACATATGTCTATGTTAATCATGCAGATCCTCATACTATATTATTACTTTGCTAAATTGGAATATCACTTCAAGGTATATATATGTTATATATTTTTTTATTTGATTATTTTTTGGTTATTTTGTGAATGCTTTGTTTATTTAATCTTTCATCGTAGGATTAATGTATGCTTTAGTATTTTCTCAAGGTATTGCAGCTACTCGTGCTTTCCAGGCTGTTAAACTACATTGGTGGATCACCCATATTAACTATTATGAGTCTCACTATCCTCATCGATCATATAACAAAGCCATTACCAATGAATTCAACATGCTAGTAAAATCTAAAGATTTTGTTGACTTGAAAGTTCTAAACACTAGACTGATATAATTAACAGCGATATTATCCCCGATGATATAATCAATGACGATATTATTATTAATGATAATAATAATGATAACAATAATGATAATAATGATGATAATAATGATAATAATAATACTATTATTAGTAATATTAATAATATTATTAATAATATTCCTCATTAGATTTATTATCTCGTCGTTTAAACTTATCAATTTCACCTGATTCCTTGATAGTTAGTAATAACTAAACTAATCAAACTAATATAAATAATATAAGTAATCGTTATGTTTCACTTAATTCTACCACAAATATGTCAAACTATACGGTTGGTGATAATGAAGGACAAATTGATGTTATGCTTGCTAATGGTTAACCAACAGATATTGATATATATAAGTAAATTGAAATGTCTAAGCTAATGTTAAAGAGGTTGTAAAAAAATTTTTTTTATTAGTTTATACTAACTCTTTCAAGATTATTTGATAAATAAATGTGCATGCATTGTACATTTTGCAAAAAAATCCGACCAACCGACCGGAGTTTTGACAACTATGTAATGTAAAACAAAAATTAACTTTGTGTGGCCTAAAAAGATGACAATCTTTTATTGAAATATTCCATAGGCTTAGAAAATTATAAATTTCAGTAACTATCCAATTTAGCAACCTAAACTATATTATTTAAGTTATTCATGCTACTATAATTTAATCCGTAATTTATGACTATAAAATTACTGTAGATTAAATAAAATTTTGTTTGTTCTATTATTAGTTAGTCATACAATTATGCTACCACTAATCATTGTTAATAAAAGCTATTATTACTACACTAGGTTATCGTTGTTCGAAAATCTTGATCGACTGGTATAGGCATTAGTGTTAAATTTGCATGTTCATATCAAATGATGTTTGTCACATGATTCAAGTTATATAAATTTTTATGTGTTGGCCATTTAAAGTTATTTAGAAGGCCATAAATAATAATTTTTTAGTCACTTGACAACACTAAACCAGTAACGGCAGAAAAAATAAGGTCTCTACTTAAGCGTTCGATTGGGCGAAAACAATTAATACAAAGGCAAAAATAAGGACGCACAAAAAGGCTTTATTAGATAGGATTTTCAAGGTAAAGGAGGACCTTATTTGAGTTATCAGAAAACCCGAATTCGATAATTTTACTGATTTAATTTTTTTTGCTTTTATAGTTTTACAAAAAAATTTACATTCTATCTCATATGTATCTCAAGAGAAAATCATGAAAATTCGTAGTAATAAAAGGCTTGGTCTACAAAAAGGGTGTACTATATCTATCTAATCTTCCTTACTAGGATTTTTGTAAATATTCGAATGCTTCATATTTCCATTTTCATTTAAATCGCTCATACTAATTTTCTTTCAGCGTGAATTCGAAGGCTTCTTGGAAGTTACTTGAGATTTTCACGTTAATTTGCACCCAATTTGTCATTATTATACTTGCTTCGAGTTCAGACAATGGATTCTATTACTTGACTTTTTTAGTTATATAATTCCGGGCCAAATTGACGTCGAGAGCACGGGAAAAGATCACGTACCACGTACTGTACGTACTGCCGTACTGATTTACTTATTTGTGCGAGTAACACAAACCAAAAAAGGAAATCGAATTTTGTAAATAAATTAAATGCGTAAAAATAGAAGTTTAGGATTAGGACGTTAGG